CTATCTATCTATCTATCTATCTATCTATCTATCTATCTATCTATCTATCTATCTATCTATCTATCTATCTATCTATCTATCTGTCTATCATATGAACATACTGTACACCATATGAACAGGGGAGACTTAAGTAGAGCCGCTGCTCCTCCACATCAAAAGGATCTGGTAAGGTTGCCTCCTGGGTACCTCCAAAGGGAGGTGTCCAGGTGTCAGGCATGTCCTACTGAGAGGAGACCCTGTGGAAGACCCAGGACACATTGGGAGAGACTATGTCTCTTGTTTGACTTGGGAATTCCTTGGAATCTTTCTAGAAGAGCTGAAAGAGGTGACTTTGGAAAGAAAGATCTGAACTTCCCTTCTTAGCTTCTGCCCCCACAACCCAACTTTCTTTGTTTTTAATAAAAAGAACAATAAACTCTTTGACTACAGCCGAAATAAATGAAATCTTTGTTGTTGTTTTTTTTTTTTTGTTTGAAAATTGGTAAATCCTTTGTAGACAAACTTTTTTACTATCACTGCCGACTCCTTTCACTCTGATGAACCTCAGCCAAAAGGATCTCTGTAAAACCTAACCCACATTTATTTCTCCTGCCACACAGCACAAATCTCATCTGGTTTTCCTTTGTGGAGGATAAAATGTTCAAGAATATGAAATGAGCTCTCCTAGTCTCCTGGCTCCCGCACTTTGAGCACTTGTATGAATGATTGTGGGGAGTTAAGGGATGTTGGCACGCTGCCTATCAGTGCAGCTGCTAAACATGTTGGAGGTGGGAGAATGGCGAGTGGATTAAACAGGGTCAGCTGTGACATGTTAGACTGTAAACCATCACAAATTACTGATTACCTGCTGCAGGGTGTAATCTCCCAATCTAATTTGGGCTACATGTTCCAGACGACTTATTGCAAATAAAGTTTTTTTTAGGCTTTAAAAAGCATTGTTTCCAATTGATAAAATGGAACTAATGTTGCAGTGGTTTGCTCACTAAGAAAGTTTAATTGTCTGGTGCTTAGAAGATGTGATGGACTGTGTACAAAGTAATATGGTGTCTTAATGACATATATTTATACTTCTCATACAACCACAATTAAATCCACTCTATCCAGAAGACACAATTTATCAGGAAAGTATTTTTTAAATAAAAACAACTCAGAATAAAATCGAAGTAGCTTTCTGCTTCTTAACTTTTAAAAAACGTAAGGAGTAGAAAGTACAGATAATTGTGTGAAAATGTAAGGAGTAAAAGTAAAAAGTACGCTGAAAAGCAATTACTCAAGTAAAATACAGATAACCAAAATTTCTACTTAAGTACAGTAACAAAGTATTTGTACTTAGTTACTTTACAACTCTGATCAATACTAAGGGCAAATGGTATAGCTACTATTTTTAGTATGTGGATATTACAGTTTTAATCAATAAACACTCAATTGTGTTGCCTTGGTTTTCATATTTTGCATGCTTTTATGTTTTCAGTTCAGTTTGTTTCTACCTAAACAAAATCTCACAGACTTTTACGACTTATTTTTTTTTTTTTTTGGGGGGGGGGGGGGGGGGGACACCTTTCTGTTCATTCTTTGTTCTTTTTTTCCCCCACCGACCCTTTGTCCTCTGTCAGGACTGCAGGATGAATGGACACATCCAAACACAGGTGTTAAACGTGATTGGCTACAAGCAGATGGCTCCCCCCAGCATTCACTCACACAATGTTATATTCAGTGCCCCCCCCCCCCCCCCCCCCCCCCCCCCCCCCCCGGTGGAAAAAAAAAACGCAACTCCCGCTGCAGAAACAGCCTCAGTGGGACTTGAGTAGGTTTCTAGAGACGAACCACAGCCTGGTTTGAGACAATCACATGATTTCACTGGGAGTCAGAGGAGTGGTCGGCGGGGGTCACTGGGTAGAGACAGAGAGATTTGGTGGGGGGTGGGGGCGTTGATTGTAGTGGGCTCTGTGAGTGTGTGTGTGTGGTGAGGAGGGGGGGTGAGAAAATGACTGGCCGGGAGACAGGACTTGAGTTCAGGCACTTTAATGGACACGGATGGGGAACCTAATGAGTGCGAACGTGAAGGAAGCCCGCATCTGAAACACGTTGATGCTTCGTTATAACAAGAAGCAGAGGCTGCTGTTCCTCACCTCTCATGTTAAAGCTGCCGGAGAGCCTCTCTGTTCCTCGTTTTTGGCTTCAGCTGCCTCAAAGGTGATCCGCAGACATGGCTTTCCTGCGCCTCTCGCGCGCGCAGTGGAGGAACTGGACGCGCTGGTTGGTCTTGGTGCACCTTCTCTGCAGCGGCGCGTCGAACAAAGTAAGTCCCGAGTTACCTGTTTGAGGAAGTCTTTACAATGTGAAACAACAAGAAGTCACGTGTGCTCTTCCTTTTTTTCTTCAGAACGAACTTTTAAATCGTGATGCCGGCGGTCGTGAAGCTGGCGCGTCGGTTCTTCTTCGCTCGCTTAATTTACCTCAGCGCACAGGTGAGCTAACGCTAATTAGTTAAATGTCCGACTTAGTGAAAGCTTTGAAAACTGTGTCTTTTCGGTGCAATGGTGGCTTTCTCGGTTGTGTACACGTTTGTAGAGATATGACTGAATGAGAGTGTTTATTTGTCATCACGCATCACTGAGCATCAAACAGCGCTCACCTGTGCTGTGTGCTATACCTCTCTTCACCACTTGGGGGCAACACACAACCTGACACAGGAAACGTATAGCCACAATGTTATCTGGAGCTGCAACAAACCTCTGCCTGGAGTAAAAAAAAATAATAATAATAATAATAATA